AACGCTTTGATCTTTCTCCTATTCAGATCCTTTGTCAGTAGCCTTCTAATCACGGGCTTTTATTTTCGGAGGTTAAAATATGAACACGTGATTGTTGTTGTATGGTGAGCACACGGGGGTATCATCTGCAAATGTTGAAGCCTCCATTTCAAAGAGATACTCTAAAAGGTTCAGCTCACCTATAAATGAGCGAAGGATTATCCATTTATATTAACAAGGGTGAGGTGCTGAGGATTTTGTGTTGCATTCACAAGAAATTCAGGAGAGTAAAGGAGCCATATTCTAGATCAGAGCATTGGTCCACCACTCCAGTATCCCAGCTCTGGCAGTGGCCAGTATCTGGTATTTTAGAGGTAAACAGCTTCCCCCTTCACACACATAATACAGCTGGCCAGTTGTGGAATGCTGTTCATGGGGAGAAAAGGTTCCTTCCTGCCCCCAAGCCAGGGATCAGTATATGACTTGAAGCATGAGATTTAGCTGCTAGAATTTTAGTTGAATACTTACAATGTATTATATTCTGATCGTAATATTATTGAGTGTTTTGAAGGGGGATTCAGGTATCTGGGTTAGAAGAGACTGGCTGCAAAGAAGAATCTTGCTAGGGAGTCATTGAATTCCTAGGCCCGAGAAACATTTTTTGGCCAGGTCCAAGAGTGAAATAAGACACTGGCTGTATTAGTCATAGCTGGGATGTGCTCTTTATTCCAAGGGGACAGCTGATGACAGTAACAAAACATCTCCCTAGATACATTGTTTGGCAATGATCCTCCTCCTGTTTTTCCAGCTGTAACTACCGTTACTCGATAAATAAATACCCCCCCACCGACAGTGATGTGCAGAGCCAGCTTTCCTTCCCTCGGCCCGTTTGGCCCATCAGCTGTCTGTTCCTTCCCTCCCTACCCTCTGTGGGACTATGCTTCATACTGCAAAGATTTCCGAGGGGTCCTTGTCATAGATATAATCAAAAGGTAGGAATAGGCAGAGAGCCTAGGAAGGAGGGGAAAAGAAGAGGTGTTTCTTTCATGAAACCTTTTAGCTTTGTGCAAGTCTCTGATCCCAGTGTATTTCTTTGTCTCCATTCCAGACAACTGGTGTTAATTGTCTCTCTTGATGACAGTCTCAGGAGAGAAACGGAGATTTAAATCTAATCTTATCATCTGTCATCTTTTTCATATAGTGCCTATCACTGTGTAATCTAGGCATTATATAAAATGCTTAGATAGATAGATAGATAGATAGATAGATAGATAGATAGATAGATAGATAGATAGATAGATAGATAGATGGGATGTATGGGGATAGATAGATAGATAGATAGATAGATAGATAGATAGATAGATAGATAGATAGATAGATAGATAGATAGATAGATAGACACTGGTTGTGTCAATGGTGTACTTGTTAGATCAAGTTCTGCAACTCCCTCTTCTTTTAAAGTATGTTCCAGAGTTGTTGACTCGAGTCCGACTTAAGTTGCCTAGGTGACTCGACTTGAGACTCGACTCGGGTTCATTGTTTGTGACTTGAGACTCAGCTTGAGACTTACTAATTTTGTTAAAATGACTTGGTGAAAAAATTGTCAGAAAATGCCAATAGTGATGGCTTGTACAAAAGTGAC